ACAACTGAATTTTATTATTTACAGTTAAAATTAATATCAATTAGAAGAAAAACACCTAAAAAGGAAGGCTCAATCTCATTTGTAACTGCACATATTTAATACTGATATTGCATATTCTTTTTTCAATTTTATTTTCTATTACTTTGACCTGAATATTTGCAAAGGGTGCTGGTGCTGTGAGTGAAAAAGCCTACACAAATATCCTTACCCACACTGATCTCTGAGTTGAGTCAAAACACCAAGAGATAGTAAATTCAATCACATCATTATAATAACTTTACAACAATATTTATATGCTATAAATAATATGCAGCTAAAGAGCTTGACACTAAGGCCACTTTCACACAGTGCGATAACGACACGATTTACTGTATGCAGTAAATCGCAACGGCACAAAAGTATATCCAAAATAAATGTATTTAAAGCGAAGATTTTCACACTGATGCGATCTGATATTAAAATCGTTACAGTAAAAATGTTGCAAATTTATTCCGATTTGCATTAACAAATCGCCGCACGTGTATTATATGCTAGTAGTGCTAACCTAGACTTGCACCCATTAAAATGCCTTTCTCAAAAAAAAAAACATTCAATTACGAAATAGTCGGTTTAATAGAATTACTGTTCGCTCCATTAGATACATACAACTAAACCCGACAACACTGCGAGGATAAGCCTCGCATTTCAACTTGGAACGTTATCGGAACAAGATTTAGTAGCATAATGAGTAGGAGAACAGGATTCTATGGAAGTCAATAAGAAATAGGTGAGATAGGTTAGTAGGATAACTTCTCAGGCACGAAGGTCTAGTCAGAGACATATTAGAGGCCGAAAAGGAAATTAGAAGGGGTAGAGGTAGATCTAGGTTAGATTACTGTTCGCAGATAGTTAAGGATATGGGTTGTTTTAGTTTTAGGGAAATGCGAAGATTAGCTCAGGGTAGGACTGACGACCTTATGATGATGATTGTGAAAGCGGCGTTCCGATACAATACAACAAATCGCGAGCAGTAAATCGTGTCATTATCGCACTGTGTGAAAGTGGCCTAAATGTCACAAAGAGAACAAAAATAAACCCATTTCTTTCCAACTTTGGTAGTCATCATAAGAAATTATTACAAAGTCAAACATTTGGTCATGGTTTTATTCCCCGGACACACAACCATCACGCAGCCCTGAATGAATTAATATGAAGCTCTAACCAAGTACCATTTAAGGAGGACCATAGCGATAAAGCCCGAATAATAATTTTGTAATAATGTGTATCGGTCGTAAGGGTCTAAGCTTATTCAAAGGGAACTTATAACTTCTTAATCAAAATAAACATTCAGCATATTAGTTGACCAGAATAGGACGAACGTTGGATAATCGAGCAAGATGGGCAAACGAAAAACTGCAGCACCATTCGGTAAGAAAAGGATGGCAAGAACGCTCAAGTTTGAATTCCCGAAATAACTCCTGCGTATGGCCTGCCGCATTTACTTTTAAAATTAGTAAAATTATAAATGTATGCAAATGATAAACACATTTAAATTGCTGTGCTATATACTTTAACAAAAATAATAATATGATTTAATTTACTTTCAATTCGTTGAAATAACACTAAAACTATAACTTAGACTAATTAATGTGCACCAGCTCTTCTGAACACAAAATGAAAAGAGACTAACGCTTATCAGCTGAAGATTACCTTCGACCATGAAACAGTTATGCCACCGTTCACCCTATTTTGGTCTAGTAATGCCTACCTTTATCAACGGAGATAATCTACTCTGAACTCTGAACTATACAAACGCCTTATCAAGAACGGTTTTATCAATTGGAATAAAGGTAAAAGTTAGGTAGGTATATATAAAGAGATCAAAAAGAATTGTTTGTCAGTACAGCATTCTGAGCAGTCTTACAGCTCCTAAGAAAATACGAAAACTACATACAATCAGCATCATGAAAACCGCTGTGTTCTTTGGACTTTTGACTTGCCTTAGCTTAGTCAACGCAAGTATGTATTATGATTATCCTTTAATTTTTTCATTTTTTTTATCTTGATATATATACAAGTATATCATCATCATAAGGACATCTGTCCTATGATCGATTATACACGCACCTCCACTCTTTCCTATCCTGAGGTAATCTTCGCATTAAACTTCCCTAAAACTATCACAACCTACATCCTTAACTATTTGCGAACAGTAATCTAATCTAGGTCTATATATCTTATATCTTATATTCCTTTAGGAGTGGCCGTGTTGGATTCCTCATTTAACTCTACTGTGGAAGAAATTAGGAAAGTGTTGGAACAATTTGATCCAGCAACAGTTAAGGATGTGTCTTTCACTTTGCTTAACCAGTGAGTTCAATGGAATTTATTACATCTTTAGAAAGCATCCATTTCTACAGAATCACATAATAACTAAGACTATAGATATAAGCGATGCTCTGTGTTTTGAATTTTACTTCTATTATTTACATCCGAATTACATTAGTAATTCACATTGATTATAATTTATTACAGGATCACCTTTACTCTTAAATCCGCTTCGCTTTCCAAATTCTCTAATTTCGCTTTTACAACATTATCAAATGATGGCGAAAACATTAGGGCCAAATTCAGTCATCCAGAAGTTGATGCTGTTATAGACAGTCTTAAAATCAGTAGCAAACTGCTGGGAATTGACGCTGGTGTTCCCAATCTAGAGTAAGTAAAAGCGTAAAAATCGAGATAGACATCAGTAGACAGTATCCCATTTTCGGTACTTTTGTCGGCTATCTCCCTCATTATTAAAAATAGATGGTTGCGATTTTCGCAATAGTTACCTATTTTTTGTGAAACTACAGACAGTGCCAGCAGAATTTTCATATCCCTTTTGGTTCTTGAGATAAATAACGGAATTGAAAAGTATCACCTTTGAGGCACTTCGTCCTCTTCCCGCATCTTAAACTTCATCATCATCATAAGGTCGTCAGTCCTAAGACTGTTTGGACACGCACCTCCACTCTTTCCCTACAACCATGACATCCCACATCCTTAACTGTTTGCGAACAGTAATCTACTTCTGCTCCTGTTTCTGCCTTTAATATGTCTCTGGCTGAGAAGGTGTCCTACCAACCTATTTAGCCTATTTTTTATTGACTTCCATAGAGTCCTCTGTTCTCCTATTCTTTCTTATATCTCTTCATTTCTAACCTTCTCTATCCACGGTATCCTCATCAATCGTCTGTAACACCACAAATCTTAAACTTATGGAAGACGAAATTTTTACAAAATCTTGAACTTGTTTTTGAAAATAATTGCATATAATTATACCTATATTTTTGGGAAGTTCACATTATGCCTAATACTTGTATAAAATAATATACATAGTGTTCAATGTAAAATACATATGTTTGCGTAATTAGTAAAAAACGGAAGGTGCTGGAAGAAGGTGATTATGCCACTGGATTCTACAGATAACTAAGCTATGGGGGGGAAGGGATGGTATAAAAGTAATATTTTTCAATTCCACCCTGTATTTCAAAAGCCAAAAGGAATTTAAAAATTCTGCTGGCGTCATCTTTAATTTCACAAAAATAGTAGCAAACTACTGCGAAAGCTGCAATCCTCTATCTTTAAAAATAAGGGAATTACCCCGAAAGGTTTCAAAAATGGAATACCATGTACATATTTAATCACGTCAATTTAAGAATAGCTACAAAATAAATAACCGTATAAATATTTATCTCATAGAGCATCAATTGGAGGATTAACCATTGACGTATTTTTTTCATACAGTACTAAACCTCTCAGATTAACATCCCTTAGCGCACTGGCTCAAATTGCTGATGCATCTGTAAGTATTTATTAACGTGCAGGTTTTTGGTGGTGACAGTATCATTGATATTTTAAAAATTATGACAGGTAAAAGGAACAGCAAGTCTCAATGGTAACATCATTGACATCTCAGTTGGCGAAGAAGTCGTCGCTGTAATTAACAAGAAGGCTGTGGAATATCAACATCATATTAGTGCAATTATTATGAAAATTGTTAACAAAATTTTAGCCGTCGTCGACTCCAATTCTTTACTATTATGAAAAATTTATCTCTATTTACAATATTGAAACAATGTTATTTTATTTAAAAATTGTATTACATAAATAAATGTACCTTTTTTACACAAGTTTTTGTTTCTTAATTAAAATTTTTAAGGATTTAAAATTATCAAGGAACTGAGATGTTAAAGTAGCAAATCTAAATAAACAGGAAAATTTGGAAAAACTAACAGTGCTTTTTTCTATGGGACATTTGTATGATCTACGGTTTAGCAGTTAGTAGATAATGGGAATAAAAAGAATAACATAAACGATTCAGTGAGGGCAATGTCATAATTACTGAGACCTTCAAAAGCATTAAAAATGAAGAGAGTTTAGAACCTGCAAACTCACGTTTCGTTTTCAACTCAATGTGTACTTCCTGATTTATTTACATTATGTAGACAAGTAGGTATAGTTACAAAATAGACCGTTTAACCTTAAGCAGGTATACAATTTTAGAAAATACTACAAATGGCGCAGTAAACGCCATCTGTAGCGCGATGCTACATTTTAGGATTACGTATGCTCCAACAAGGTCCACTTGTGTGGATATCTACTTGCTGAAAACGAATCCCGGCGTGGACCTTGTTGGAGCAAACGTAATCCTAAAATGTAGCATCGTGCTACAGATGGCGTTTACTGCGCCATTTGTAGTATTTTCTAAAAATTTACCTCAGGTTAGTAGGTAAAAGTTGGTCTGTGTT